CAGGTGGCAATGGAAGTGGAAATCGTCTCGATCAACTCTCTTACCCACAATACGTATTCGTCGATCGAGATCATTCAGTGTACGTATGTGATGGGAACAATCATCGTGTGATGAAATGGATGGAAGGTGCAAAACAAGGCATTGTCGTGGCTGGTGGTCAAGGAAAAGGAAATGGTCTTACACAATTGTCATATCCTCGAGGAGTCGTTGTCGATCAATTGGGCACTGTCTATGTGGCTGATGAATGGAATAATCGAATCATGCGTTGGCCTAAAGGAGCCACACAAGGAAGTGTCATTGTTGGTGGAAACGGTAGAGGAGAACAATCGAACCAACTCAATAGACCCTTCGGTTTGTCATTCGATCTACACGGGAATCTCTATGTCGTCGATTCGGGAAATCGTCGAATACAAAATTCAGTATTGATTCTGATGTATAATAGTTGTTGCCAGTAGATCCCGATAGAGCCTAGGTGAGGCGGCATTTGGCTACGATGAGTGTGAAACAGTATAGGAGGTAAGCCTTTGTTGACAAAGTTCATAGTCGAGAAAAATGCAAAAAAATTCAACTCTTTTCAGTTCCAGAGTATAAAAAGGATACACATGTTTTATAGTTATTTTTCATTACGTAATTTATAAAAACTAGTACTTAATTCCTTTGAATGAGACAATAATGAATGCTCTAGAATTCTCCCGAGCTAGCTGTAGAGGAAATATACAGTCGTTTATTGTGAAAGATTTGATTGATGACCAAAGCTCATATAAAAAGAGAAAGCAGAACTTTCTATTCATAGTTCAGAAAGTAAAAACAAATTTTTGAAACGTTGGCGAACAAATCTTCATCAACTCAATTGTTAGGACATATGTATGTCGTTGTGTCTAAAGGAAGATGCTGATATTACAATGAGACAGCTTGTTTAGTATTAAATTGCATAATATTTAGTTTTTGTGATATTTCTCTTTATGTTAAAAAAATATAAAAATTGTTTTCTGTTGTTCCATGAAAATCTTGTGTATGTTTTGAAATTAATAAAGTTTATCAAGTATAATTTCCGTTGAAATATGACCAAAATCAGTAAAACTTATACGAAGAACCGCATACGAGCACGCGCAATTTATTGATGACGAATGTCCTTTTTTAAAATAAGCTAATTTAACAGCCTACTTGAATTAAATTTAGCAGAAATAGTTCGGGACTAAAAGGATTAAGATGGCTATAACTTTGTTTATAAGTAAAACCCAACATGATAACTATCAACTGCAGATATAGCTTTCAATCACAGTTGTATCTATGAACTGAGGTTATAAATATCATTCATTTTAACTTGATTAACGTTTTAATTAATTGAATAGTTTTATTTATGTGGAATTAATAATTATTTTGATTTAATCGAGATGCCTGATAGATTAAATTAAAGCACTTATAATCTGTGGATCTTTTATTGAAGAAACTAGTATTTGTACATTATTCTTTAAGAGGTTTTTTCTGTATTCATTTACAAGTTACATATTTTTTTATTTACGCGCCGACTAAGAATGAAATAGTGTATTTTTTCATAAGAAACAGAGCAGCCTTTATTTAACGTTAACAGCTGCGCATGAAACACAAAAAGCACAATCATTTGTATCTATGGTATATATATTGAACATGATTTAAAACAAGTAACATTTGTCGGTGTGACTCGCTTTATCCTCGACTAAATATTCGGCTCGTTCGCTATTTTATACTTCTTTGCAGCTCTCAACAAAGCTATTATCCAACATTTGAAAAAGTATGTGTGTGGATGCTGATACTAGTGTCAGTCTCCTGGTGCATGATGGTATGTGTGTCCATGTAAGAATTTTTGTCATAAACTCATCTCATCAAACTGGTATCCACACATCGATACTCAACAGAAATCTAAATGAACTATACACGCAGTAGCAGTAACCACACACACTAGAAAAAAGAGATTATATTCAATTTACTGAAGGAATCACGAAGCAAAACTCATCTGTGACACAAGAGTGAAAACGCTTCATACTCCTTGAAAACTCTGCTAAAAGTCCTTATGCTTACTAGCATATCAACTGACACTGTCGTTTTTCAGAGCATCCACACTCTAAAAAATTTTCGTATCCTAGGAAACCCAAAGGGGTTCGGAAACCTACTCGGAAACCCTTTTCCGTTTCCGAGTGGGTTTCCGAAGTTTGGAAGCGTTTCTGAAAATACCCTTTGGGTTTCCGAACGTTCAGAAACTCAAGGGTTTCCGCCAATACTCAACTGAACACTCTAAAAGTATTCTAGAATACCTTTTTCTTGCTTTCGGAAACCCAATAGGTTTCTCGAAAATCGGAAAGGTATTGTCGAAAACCCATATTAGTAGTAAAGCTGGATTGATACCCGAAAGGGTATGCGAAAATACCTTTTCATTTCCTAAATGGTTTCCGAAAATACCCAATGTGAAAAAGGGTATCATAGGATACCGGGATGGGTTTGCAAAAATACCCAATCAGAAAAAGGGTATCATAGAATACCGAGTTGGGTTTGCGAAAATACCCAATTTAAAAATAGAATCATTGGAAATCAAAATAGGTTTGCGAATTTTGTGTTAACCCTTAAAAGAGTTCCTAAGGTTTTCAACTTTTCTGATACCTTCATCAATTTTCTGATTGACATCTCAAAAACTTCGCAAAAGGATAGATGTGGATTTCAACCTTATTTTTTTCATATTCTTTCTCATGCTTAGCTTTGAACATTTTTATGAAACAGCAAAACACCGATCTAATTAATAATTGCGTATTGAATTATTCAAAATTGTTCCTGTGTAAACAGTTCCATGAAATGTGAAGCCAGATCATGCTTCATAAATAGTGGAATGTTATTTGTGCGTTTTACTGTTGATCTTATTCTTCGGAATATAAAAGAGAATACAATATTAACAAATCGGCAACAAAATAAATAAATTAGACAATTAACATATGTCTTTTTTCTTCCTTTTTTGGTTGAGTTTCGCTAAAGTAAGAATTATATTGTAGCTATCGTGGATGTCAAAAATTACAGGAGGAATGAATTGCAGAAATTTCTATTCTTAAGTGAGAATTACAGTTGGTTTATTTCTAAAGATTATAGGCTTTTAAAACAAACAGAAAACTGCAACTTAAGTCCACATGTTAACAAATTAATGTCATTTATAAGACATATGAACAATATGTTTTCATATAACTTTCACAAGAACATAAATCATGGATCTGATACTTTTGTCTTGTCTTCAGTCACTTTCTAGCTTTGTTCTATAATCGAATAAAAAGAAGGGTTCAATGTGTAAAGTACAAATCAATGCAATTTCTCTTATGTTTAATTATGATTCGCTTTAACTTCATTAGGTTGTGTCGTACTAATTTTGAGATTGGTCGAGGGCAACTGACAGACGAAGTAAAATAAGGAAAACAATGGTTATTTCATATTTTCTAATATTAATAAAATATTATATTGAAAAAACACTAATTTCTAAATGTAGAGAAGATCGTTAATCATTTTACAATCTTGTTTATAATTTCTCCGTTAGAGAATAGTTTATTAGAAGTTTTACTAAAATATTACGTTCTGGAAGGGAGATGAAATTGCTTATATTTACATTGCATTCATTGGAGACTTAGTTGAAGAACAACTTTTATTTTTACTGTCAGTATAAGAGAAATTTAGCTACAGGTTGACCATTTAAGCGTGCTTTTTATATTTGTTCTAAATTTTATTTAACAAAAGGCTTTGTGACGTCTATTTTATTACCGAATTTGATGCTATTATTATATATGAATATAAAGATGCCTTAATACTAGAAGAAAGAATAGTTAGAATACTTTTTTAGAGATTAATTTTAGTAGTCTACTCACGTGGAATCCAATGAGCATATTTCACACTACATATTCACAAATGGTTGCTTATTTTCTAAGCCTTTTCGATTTGAATGATATCAGGGTCCTCAACTATCGAACAAAACATCAGAATAGCTATGCAAGCTGATTCTTTTATTTCTGATTGCATATCTATCGAATAACGTCTCTATAACGAGTAGAAAACGCTTCACTAACGATACTTCCCTACAAGCACGCTCAAAAGCAAAGATTTTCTTATATAGAATCATTTTCACTTGAGCAAAATCCTGATGAAATATATTATATTGATCAAAAGCTTCAACATTAATTCCTCCGCTTTATCAATCAACTCTATCTGAGTAGCCGTCCCATTCTCTTCGATTTCAATAATCTAAGATCATATTAATGATCAACTCGAAAATCTGCTTCACTTTAGGAAATGTCATACCTTCATTTCATACCTCGTTCGAAAGCTTACTATTCTTATGATTTCGGTCGTAAATTCATCTCGATGAATTCTATAATTCATTCGATGTTACATGAAATGTTTTTTTTTTCTTACATATCTAATCATCTCAACAGGTAGATGAGTTATTTTAAATGATTTCATAAAATATTTCTAACTTATCATTTATACTTTTCAATGCTACATTTTCTCTATCTATTCAGGGTGTTTATTTAATTTCATGAATACAACACTTTCTTAATTTTTCTTTTTCTATCATAACATGGCTCTGGAATTCGGTGAGCTCTAATCAACTAATTAAGTTAAAACATATTTTCTCTTTTACTTTTTAGACTCGTTTTAGATAGCCATATATCCCGTAAGTTTATTCCAAATATTAAATTAAAATACAATTTCATTTTAATTCATCGATTTGTTTCGAAAATTGAAAAAAAAGCGTGAGTTAATTCAATTTATTAAATAAAAATACAATCTTTAACTTTTGTTTGGAGATTCGATCCGTATTTATCAATATATCCGGTGAGTTTTTTCCAATTACTAAATGAAAATGAAATTCTATTTTTATTTTTAGATTCGTGGCATATCGATAGATCTAGTGAGTTTGAATCAATTTAACAAATTAAAATGAAATTTTGTTTTTATTTTTAGATTCGTTTTATAACTCAATATGTCGGATGAGTTCATTGAAATTACTAAATAAGAATGAAAGTTCATTTTTACTTTTAGATTCGCTGTCTGGCAATAGATTCAGGGAGTTTGAATCGATGAATAAAATAAAAATACAATTTTATTTTCAGTTTTTGGATTCATGCGATATTGGTGGATCCAGTAAGTTTCAATCAATTTATTAAATTAAAATAATATTTTATTTTATTTTTATCTTCATTTTATATTTCAATACATCATGTAAGTTTATTTCAATTACTAAATGGAAATGAAGTTTCGCTTTTACGTTTAGATTCGTTTTATATCTCAATATATCTGGTGAGTTTACTCCAATTACTAAATGAACATGAAATTTTATTTTTATTTTTAGATTCATTTAATATCGATCGATTTGGTAAGTTTGAATCAATTTTCTAAATTA